GTACACTCGTCACTCGAATTATTAAGAGCTCTTACTACGGGTTGCTGAACCAAACGAGTAAACACAAAATTTGCTAACATAAGAAGTTCGTTCTCTAGGGATCGAATCAAATAATAACCAGCACAAATACATATACACATGATCAGATTCATACTCAAAAACTGCACGATCAGGGCTTCAGTGGGCGTCATGGCGAAGTTGCGCGTTAGGCCTTCACTTCTCGGTGATGTTATCCTTTTCGGGGCTTCTCTTCGCCACGCACTCTGAGTTTCAGATCTGTAAACAAAAAACTCTCAAAAAAGAATAGGTTAACGCATTTCAACATATTTACAAAGTTTCCATGGAACTTTACTATAATACAAGTGTTCACCACTCTAAACTACCCTCTCTTGTACACTCAACTAGATGAAATTGTCGAGGAGCCGTCGTTTAGCTCTTCTAGATAACGGAAACCCAACTCATAGGCCAGTTGCCATTGGCCTGCGTCCCCTAAAATCCGAAGTTGCCGCTTATTGAGTTCAGAACGCTGTAGGAGAAATCCAAACATGTATCGCTCTTCTGGTGTTCTCTGTGGCAATGATGGAAGATCGGATTTATGATGTTTTGTGCCTTGAATCTCGGTCGGGTGTTGACGGTCCCGATCAATAGATAATCTTGGCTCCATCAGGATACGCAGTTGTGACAACTGATGAAGGAGACTGCTTACGGGTTGGTTCACCATTGGGTTAGTCCCAGCGCACATGCTCTGGGGTTCCAGGCACAGTACGAGACTCCGATGATCGCTAGCATGAGATGTTCTGCGCCGGTATGTTCTGGCCATCCTTCATGCCATACGTGGGCTTTTTGACCGATTAGTTCTGCAACAAGCGCTGGCAGTGGAATAGGCCAGTGAACGTTGACCACTATCATGTCGATGTTAGTGGCATGTTGTCTACTCCATGAAGCTTGTTTGACTAAGAAGCTTGCTTCTTCCTGGTACAGCAGGTTGGATCCAAGTTCCACGACTAAACGTTCCAACCATAGAGCTAGAGTTTCTTTAGGTTGGATTCTTGATTTTCTGCACAAATCCTGTAGTTCAGTTCTGGTGCAAGCATAGTAGGCAGTAGCAACTCGGTTAGTTGTTGTTGTAGGCTGAACTGCCGCTGCGGGAGTTACTGTTGCTGTTACTGCTTCAGGCAGGAGGGGCGGATGCACTCCTCCGCTTGACTCTCTTTTTCGTCAGCAGGAGGGCGTGGTCGGCAGAGGCGTCGCCGCATCGCTAGGCGGGGTTGCCGGAGACGACGCTGCGTCAGTGGGCGGAATCGCTGACCGAACTCTCGCGGGTTCCTCTGAAGCTCCACCCTTCTTTTCCGGTTCTTCCAC